ACATGGAAACGCTCAGATGTAAAAGAAAGATTGATTAACTAAAGGAAAAAAACTTCATTAATAACTGAAAATTCGATTTAGATATCTGCGTCACATGACTTTACAAGTCGATCTTTTTTTTCTATAACATTAAAGTATTTATATTACAGATAAACATCTGAATGTAAACATTAGTTTTTGATTGACAGTTGGTATATTCCACCCCGCACCCTAAACAATATAAACTAGACAAACAAGCCGACATTGACATCAAAAGCGTAGAAATAAATGGGAAACATGGAGTTTTGATTTTAACAAAGAAAGAAATTCATAGATGAACGAATACGTAAGATATTTTATTGTGATAAGCCGTCGGTGAGCGTGTTTACTACGCGACAAACGTCTATTTTACGGGTACATATGACTAAGTGAACGCATTTTCAGCTGCGAATTCATGAAAAATGGTCCTGGACAAGGCCATATATCATACACAGAACTGGTTATTAAAGAGTTGAAACTATTTTTCTTTCACTCGTAAGAACACATTCAATGTGACTTAAACTAATGTAACTTTCAATAAATTACAAAAGATGAAAAATGTAAAGATACACATCTGACAGAAGTAAAAAGTACAAACAGTACAAATCATAATGAACGCCTTTTCGTTCTTGTATCAGAAATATTTAGGGGAAAAATAGCGTTACCCCGCGTCGCTTATTCTCACGAGAGTGCAGCTAATTTGTTTTTGATTTAATAATTACATGACATTTGATAATTACACTTAAATTAATCGGTTATTAAAATCTTTGAAAGAATACGTCACAGATGACGTCATATGTTATAATACTAAGCTATAATTTTCATTTTGATTTCGACAGAAAACGTATGCTCATACACTTTGGTGTAGGATTCTCTGACCACTGTAACTGTTCAATATGTTGCACTGTTTCATCCAGCAGCGCTTTCATAGTGTTTCGTTCACAGGAAGGCGCCAATTTGACGCTCATCATTTCGCGTGCCGTGTGCAAAGAAATAAACACGCCATTCACTTCTCTCCTTTTCTTCCTGTCCATTGACGGTTAATGAAATTTTCCGTGAAATACCGCTGTGACTTCCTGCTGTATAGAAGAAGGTGGGGCGATTGACTAATGATCAACTTGTCTTTGACCAGGCATTGTCGTATTATGTGTAAACTGGCCTGTGACTATAAGGGTCATCGGTGTCCGGTGTAAGACTGCAATGATGTCTTTTCGGCTCTTATGAATGAAGTTACACGGATCATTCAGGGGTCTTTTGTCAAACACTGTGGGAAGTAGGGTCCTTAACATTATCTGTATGAATAGCGGTTGTATAATGTCCACTTTTATCAAATTAATGACCCTTTAAAATTTTGCAGATATCTCTGTAAATGACTTACGCTGAAATGGTGTAAATTCTGAAGTATTAAACTTATCATTACATGTAATTGATTGTTGAGTAAATATGAAACCAGCAATTAGTATATTATTATACTTGCAATTTTCAAATCATACCCTCCACGTTTCTCAACACTTTACTCATTATAATTACAGAGGAAATTAAAAGCATGAAAAGAATAAAAAAAATCCCGACAGTTTACCACATCATGATCATCAAAAATGAATTAAACTTTTACAATTATGAAATGGTTATTAAAACATCAAATGTTTTCGTTCGTTTTCAAGCATGTCGCACATCTATCAGTTATCTTAAGTTTGACACCTTTAACTGTTCAAGGAAGAATAATAATCAAAAAAGTTCACAGATCCAAAATTAATGCCGTAAATATATAATAAAAACATTAAAATACTTGAGTTTAAACATATAAATGAAATATATATCATAAAATAAATATTGCGAAAAAGGCAAACATATGTTAGTTACATCACAATATATGAAATGCAAGTTTTGATTACAAGCGTCTTTTTTATCATTATATTACAAATTTAGTTAAAAAATCCTAAGCATCAATGAATACAAATAAGTCTAGAGTTAAATATACTTAGATATTATTAAAAATGTAGTATTTAAAAGGTGTGTAAGTTTAACGTCTTATCATAAATTAAAGTTTGTAATATTCAAACGGGTTTTCATTCATATGATATGTTTTACTTCATTAATCACAGTAAGAAATAAATTTAACGAAGTTTCACTGCACATGTTTGTCGTAATTGTGATCGGTAAATGAAAGCGGTGATTTCTGCCATAAAGGCATGTTGAAAATTAAATTTTCTATTTATGCGAAAACATTAAGCTAGTTCGAAACAATAAATTAGCGGCCTTGTTTTTATTTATTTGATAGTTTCATACAGAATTACATTCGTTACGTCAGGAATTGATATAACATTTAAATGATGTTACATTTATTGGCCCTTTATTTGCACTTTGCTAAAACCATTGTCGTAAAAAATTCCAAAATTTGGCATAACTCTGAAACCAACACATGAAACTCTATACGGAAGATTTTTAATACTGCGTGTTATAAAGGCATATTCCACTTCCATGCATACTGATTTCCCGGCTTTATTGGTGATCTCGTGCGCCTTATTTATTGGCGGGAATAGTGTTTGTACATTAGATAAAGACGAGATTAGTAATAAAATAGTCGTAATATTTCCTTAAATCGCTTAGCTTTCTGACGTTTACTTTAAACTTGCATGAAACATGATTACCATAAAGTCTAAAACTGATTTCCGCGGAATAGTTTCTGATTGCATTATCTAATTAAGTTTTGTCGTACAATTAAGTGGCTCACTAGATTTAAACACTTAAAAAGATATTACAACAATAGCATTTCAAATTTTATTATCAAAGCTAAAACATTTATTGTCTATTCAAAATTTTGTTGATGTTTCTTTTTTAAATAACGCTACAATTAGTTTTGAAAAAAAAACTAACTATAGAGAAATTGGTTTTGGAGGGTTAATGCCAAGAATTAAGTTTCAAATCGCAATTATATATTCTACCACATTTTAAGTGTTTGTTAGAAAATTTAAATTATATCAATCAATCCAAATGAAAAGTGAAAATTCTAACAATATTGCACTTAATACTATCACTGAACAACATTTGGAAAGTCATACTAGTATATGAGTACTAGTAGTTAAAACATTTGCAACCTAATGTAATTATAGTGTGATATAATTGATAAAAAGAAACAACATCAAACCAAAGTATGTAAAATTGATACATACAAAATAAGCAACAAGACACCACAGCCTAATATTTTTTAACTGATGAAAGAAATAGTTCTACAAATGCATATACAAATTGCATTCTTAAAACGTACACAACTAAGTAATAAGTCTAACTTTTTAACCATTGCCATGCTTAATATCATATTTGGACATGTCCATATTTCAATCTGGTCAATACCATTGCACATTATGAGGGGGGAGGGGTTTCAATATATATACACATACAATGCAATACATTTTAATGTTTTACCAAGTCTCTAATTTCACAATTTAACTATATAAAATATTGTGAAGCTGATTGTTCTAGTAAACATTAGCCCTTACCCTGCCGTGCCTATGTCACCAGCCAACATGCACATTCGTGCGTTTTGAATATACTCAAATACTGTTGGCTAAAATTTAGTATTCATCTTGATATCCCTAAAACTAATAATGGACAGTCCCTTAAATGGAAGCTGTACAAATCCATTTAAAAATGCAGCAGCCGAAAACAAACCTAAAATAAACAAATGTTTTCATGTATATAGAGGTAATATTTGCATGTCTCCTTACATTAACGTAAACGGCAGATATAAGAGAGAAATTCGGTACAAGAAAAGTTGGAGAATACGCGGGACATAATGTCAATATATACAAGAGAACATTCATCATTCTTGACGGTAGGGGGCGTGCCCTGTCTCGTTTAGAAACAATAAGAGTTGGGCTAAATGCGCCGCAATGTAACGCCAATGTTTCCGTCTTCTCAACAAAAACCGGCCTAACAAAATTCCGTACGTCAATTACATTTGTTTGTTATCTTCAGCAAAAAATGTAGTGAAAGACACTTCGCTAACAATAGAAAATTATAAGATGTTTCTTATCAACTCTAAAAATTCTGATTCAATTTAATTCTATCCATCTACAAATATTATAAACTCTTAACAATCCAAACTCAAAATAACAGCCTAAAACGAAACATTGGTAAACAAAGAGCTTAACTGCAACCAAAATTTGCAACAATTACAATGCTATAGTTTTGCTTTCATGAAGAGCAGTTATGAAATAAATTCTTCCATTCACTATGTGCTATGGCCCTGGCATCGTATACTAGGGTTCCTGGCACCGTATACTAGGGGTCCTGGCACCGTCTTAAACAGATTTCAGCAATCAATGTAATAACTGTTTTTAAGTCATTTGTATATAGACTTAGAACTAATCACGCATAAACACAACAATTATTTAAAAACCTTGGCTCATTTGATAAAGAAACGGAAATAAAATAAATTGTCGGTATGAAGATAATTAGACTTAAATGTTAAAATATACATTTAATGCATTGCATATTAATATACAAAATAATTACAAAAAAAAAAACAACATACAAATATGTTTTGCTGAAATGTAAATCTTTTTTGGTTTATATACATGTATTTCGTTTATTGCCGAAGCACGTGTGTTTAATAGCATATTCAAAATAGAATAATACTAAAGAAGACATAGTTGTTCGTTTTATTTTGTTAAACATGTTCACAAATGTACACATAGTTTTTACTTGATAATAAAACCAAATGAAATAATCCGGTATATGAGAATTTTATTTAAGATGACTGTGCGATACAGAATAAGAATAAACGTTATATAAACATTTATGTTGATCTAAAATATACAAAATATAAATATATGTCATCATTCCATCCTTTTAAATTTTACTTTCTTGTTTGAAAGTTAAGAACTAAAAAAAATCATCTTTAATTTTTATAGGAAAAAAACCAAATTGCTATTTGAAAATAAACATGCCTTTAAAGTTTGTCGTCTGCTTTATTTCAGGTGAAAATATGGTTCCAAAACAGAAGGTCAAAGTACAAGAAAATCATGAAGCAAAGTCCAGGTACCACACCCAGTCAAATGTCAATAGGTAATCCAGGATCTGTGACCCCTCAGCCACAACAGCCGCCACAAGCATCCCCACCACCTCCCCCACATTCTGCCGATATCCCAACATCTCAACACGGTCAAGGGGGTCATCAACAACAGCAGCAACAACATAACAACAACAACAGTGTACCAAATGGACATCACCATTCTATGATGCCCCCACAATCGTCTTCTGTTAGTCCACAACCTGAGATGAAATGGTCGGAAATAAACAACATGAACCCCTCGTCCGCCGGCAATGCATACATGTCCGGTATGCCACCAATGTCTGCGATGGCACCACATCATTACTCCTGGTATTCTCAACCGCATCAACAATCTCTTTTAACTTAACTCTAGCTCATCTAAAGACAATATAGATTATCTTTTGTTTTGTTTATTGTTTCTATTTCAAAAAAGAGCTACAGGTAAAGCTCTTGCCCCAGTGACAAAAAAAAACTAGCTTTCTGGAAAGTTAACCACGCAAGCTTATTTTGATAAATTGGACAGAAGACAGAAGATGGGGAATTAAAAGCAGGATGCTTATAATTCAAACTAGTCGAGTGCTTTAAGTTGAACGCACTAGATAGCAATGCTGTTGAGTTGATTTTTTATAAACGCCGTGTTAGTGCTATTGTAATCGTCGACACATTGGACTATGGAGGAGCTAGTTTGAACTATTGTCCCGAAATGGCACCCAAAACATTTGAACATATATTCAAATGGATCGCCAAAATAAACTTCTCCAAAATTGCTTTTAAGCATTACACAAATTAATACCTGTCTCTAGTTGGGGAACATGCTGTATTAGAAATGCTCAAATATTTGTTATAATAGACGCACATGGACGTGCACATATGTGACGCTGATGACATTTAATGCTGTCCTTTACTGGCATGCTGGCGGGGAGTTGGTGTGAATGATTAAATAGTAGAAAGACAAAAAACTCTAATGGAAAAATAGAGAGGCAATAAGGAAGTGGCCTCGGTTTTATGGAACAAAGTCTGATATAGTGTACACTCAGGGCTTTGAGAAAAAGCACTAATAATATGATTGAAACTGTGTGTGAATTGATGACAGCTTACTGCCAATAAAATTAATCGTTTATTAAAAAAATCAAATTTATATGTGTATATATTTATTGCAATTTTATTTTAAATGTTTTTATGTTGTAACGTTACATCAGATTTACGTATTAATATAAACTTTTATCTTTATTGAACAATCTAAATCTCAAATATGTTCTGTGTAAATTGTGTACGAACTATTCTGTTAATTTGTTGTCTAAATTTTGTTTCTGTCAGTTGATAAGAAATATTTCTGTTCTTGTATCCCGTTGATTTTTCAAGTTCGATTTTGTGAAGTGTCAGAATTTGATTAACATCATAAACATGAATTTTGCATATGATAAATTTACCACGTTTGAAAGCTAATATTATTGCATACTGACGGGAATTTTTCAATTTGACACTCATAAGTTGGAATTTTTTTACTTGAAATTATATGTTGCAAGTTCTTGCGAAATGCCAGTGAAACTCTGGAAATCATTTGATATTTTCTTGTTTTTATTCTGATATTTGACATTAAACAGAAATTTTCATCTTTTTTTTTTTCGTAAGAAGTATTTCTTTGCAGTGTCCTCAAATGGACGTTGATTTATATTGATATTTTTACAATCATTTTATATATGCAGTGCTTAACATGTTAATATGTTGGTTTGTCCATAAAGTAATGATAATTCGGCTGGTTTGACCAATCAGAAAGAGAATAAATAAGTACATAGAATATGAGATGAAAAAAATGTAACAAAGTTGAAAGAAAGAACGGAACTAAAATATAGAATGAAATGACCAATGTAAGGTTTAACGAAGTTCAATTATATATGTTGTGAAACATTGCTTTTATAAAAGACTATCTCATTTTCGAAACGAAAAATTAATAATTGAAATACTGATAATATTTGTTTTTGTAATTAAAGAGTATTTTTGATAAAAAATATAAAAAAACCCTATAATTCTTGGAAAAATAAAAGATGAACGTTTTGAAAAAAGGTAAACTTCTTGAAAAAAATTAAAGATGCACTTTTTAAAAATATAAAAGATGTACCGTTAAAAGGGATTTTTTATGTTTTACTATGTCTTTTACAAAGCAACTCAATTTCACCTAAGTCTTTTTCTGCCATGCTTCAAATCAGCCGCCGTTATCATTCAATTAAATAACTTTTCCCAGTTCACTTACATGTTTAGATTATTATATTTTTATTTACATACATTTTGTTCTTCTCTGTTTTTCATTGTAAGTTATATTATTATAAACATGTTCAAAGTTGTGGTGAAACCACTACGCATTTAATTTGTAGTTAAAATGAGATTAAAGTTGGATCTTATATATCTAGTTTTGTCCGTTCTTTCCCATGGATTCACTGTAAGAATCAAATGTCTTGCACGCGCCATAAAGCAATTAGGTTTTACATTAATCCTAATGAAAAATACATTATTCATCTTTAATCAGGTTAAGGTATCTGGACACCGTGATAAATATTTTATCATACATAGGAAAAAAAGGAAATTTTGTTTCTTAATTGATTCTAGAAATATGATGTCATGGAGACAAACATATTTCTTTTGATATTAACTCTTAATTAGTGGCACTATAATGTATTTTTGTGGTATTTTATTATGATGATTAACGTCAGACAAAGCCAAGATAAGCGTGACCTTGGCTTAATAGTCCATTTTAAACCAAGTATTGTTGAAGAACTGAAATTGCCTGAAAAAACCCTCATCGATATAGCACCCAAAATATTGTTTAAAAGCAAAACAGTTGAAAATGAAATTAAGGAGAAAAAAGAAATAAATATTATTGTGATATTTATGACCTGAAAAATGATGTTTCAGAAAAAATACAGGCCATTTTAAAGAGTTTATAAAATGAATACTTGAAACCACTTTCTTAAAAAAACAACAAGCAAAGCAAATTAAGGAATACAATTTCTGGATAATAATATGTAAAGCAGGATATCAACTACCTTAAAACTGTCATAAGTACGCGTTTCACTAAAAACACTTAAAACAGATAACAAAAAACCAGTGACTAGTTAACTAAGGTTAATGCATTATGTAACATAAGAGCTACTTTTTCCTTTTGAAGTGAAGGTAGCACACATTTGTAGCTAGAGAAGCTACCGTATCGGATGATGATACTGGACACCGTATACATAAAAACATTTCGACCTGAAATCGCTTTCGCTTCTAATGCTTTTTCCCACGACTTACTAACCGCTGTTTGCGTCCTCTTGGTATGATGATAGTTGAATTTAGAGTTTATTTTGTTTTCAAAAAGGACGAAACTGTACAGACAAAATGTACGGCGGTGACGGTGTTGAAATAACAGTTCCCACCCTATGTTCAAAATTTAGCCAGATAGACTCTGCAATTTTCATTTCATTTTGTATTCATTTTGATAGCCCTTAGTGAATCTTTCTAGATCTTTGACAAGATGATCTTAGATATTCTTTTAAGAAACTGCAAATGTACATTTGGTGTCCTTTATAATAACATGACTTAAAGTGACATTATGCTCATTTTTTCATTTTCAGGTTGAGCTAAATTGACTATATATTTCAAAGGATTTACTTCTGTAATGGTGATTGACCAACGGTTGATATTGGAAAATGCTTAGGATTAAATACATATGTGGCTTAAATGTAAATAGACAGTCCCAATCTTTTTATAAATTGTACATTACAGGTATTTTCCAATGGCCATTTATAGAAATCTGCACGAGCCACTGAGTTATTTATCTTCCATGCAAAGTAAATTATAAAATTGAAAGGAATTATGGCAAAATGTAAACTTAATTGACTTTCTCTTATTTGCTCACTCTATACCCTTGGACAGGCAGAATGTCACTTTAATACAGAGCCTTTTTAGTTTTAAGCATTTAATATCCCTTGATACCATACTATAATTAGGATACAATACTGGACAACACCTCATACGTTATATAACGCCAATAACGATGTCGCAAATTACGTCACAAATTTTACAATGGTACAGTAGATATGATGCCATTACATTTTTACATCTTAACGTCATTTTAATGTATTACTGCATAAAATAGCAATGTCTTCGTTTAAAAAGTAAGTGTTACTAGAAATACAAAAATATATAAACTATGTAAATATCTTAGCCCCAAAGTATAATTGATAGCGATAACCTCCATTATCAAAGAACGCAGAAAGTGTTTTTACAGTCGATAGATGCTCTTACTATCACATATTATATAGAACACTTTGGAAGGAATGGAAGTGTGAAAGTGTTTTTAGAAACTTTATCTCAGTGCACCGCAGCAAAACAAAATAAATGACAAAAAGGACAATGTCAATGAAACATTTGAAAAATAAATTACAGTCAGTTGCATGATTTACAAGTTTTTTACTAAACACTTTCACCTTTACCAGCCCCTCTCTCAAACAATATTAAAATGCAGAATACTATCTAAATAGGCAACAGAATTGTGAAAACATTATTAATTCACCAATGCAATTTTCACCAATTACATGAAATTGATATTCTCCAAAAAAGATATCAGATTCACACAGTAACTATCTTGAAATTACCAAACGTGTAATTATTCTAACATGGTTGTAACAAAATAAATTATTTTATATTCATGTCTGCCATATACTGCCATTTTTAATATAATACATTTATATTATTTCCTTTCACCTATGGTGCCCTGCATTATAGTGAATAAAATAGCAAATGCGTTTTTGAAAACACAGTTATGCAGTTTGTTTTGTTAGAACTTTTTTGACACAATCAATTTCTTGGTAAACGTTTCAGAACAATTTCTAAGGGCTTTCCTTCAGAATATCACACTTATTTGTGTAATAATTATGTAGATTCCAATGCATGTATTTTGACACAACCTATTTAGATCCAACAATTTCAGAAAACATTGTTTTATGTTCAGGTTATTTCTATTAAACTGGCCTCAGCGTAAAATGCGCACAGACGCCCAGCTGACTTCCCTACACAATTACCAATCTTGTTTTGGCGCAAACGAAGAAATTGCTTCTGAATATGTTTAGTAAAATTTGTCTTTTGAATGTTTTGTTAAAGAAAATGTTTCCTTATACCATGATAAAAAACTGTATTTGTAAAGACCATATCTTAATTAAATTATACCAATAATTTGATAGCCTTATAACTTGTAATTGCAAACAATATGTAGCCATTCGGAAGTCTGAACATTCAAAGACAGCTGTCTTTTTGAGTATTTGCGGATAAGAACATTTAAGAATGATTTAAAACGGTTGCATTTGTTCATATTCTTGAAACTTAAAAATTACCTTTAAAGAAACATCAGTTAAAAATTATATTTTTCTCATTCCTTTTGAAATACAATAAACGAAAGAGATGGGTTACTTAAAATCGATTAAATTATTTCAAATATAAAAAAAGAACAATTAAAGACGCAAGTTCAAATACTAGTTTTAATTGTTATACTAATTTAGTAATTTATGCTAGTATTCAGATTATAAAAGGCTATTAATGTATGCCATTTTTGTTGTCACTGTGTGTGTTTTATTATTGCTCAAAATATTAATATCTAATACTTTTAAAAGTTGTTTTTATTTTGGTAATTAATAGTACAAATGCCATAAGTGATGTAAATTTTCTAAATATGCACATTTGTAACCTTTGCTGTTTGTATTTATTGAGCTTTAATGTTGGTATTTTGGTTTTGAATTTAAATAAAGTGAAAAAATCCTAAAAATCCCGCCAAAATAAAAATCAAATTAATATCAATTGCAACTAACTAGATAACGTGTGAACTTTACATGGCACTATTTTTTTCTCATGTAAGTCATTTCGATGTATGAATACAATAAAGAAAACTCGTATCATTATGACAAAAATGAGAATAGTGCCTGTTCGCTAAATATGACCACAGAATAACTACTCCAACAGTAGTCAGTCCATTTTTATTACAGTCTGTATGAAGTCGTCAATTTACAAGGCTTTGTAGTTCGCCATTGTTTACATTTTATTGCATCATAAAAACAAACATGTAATCTGGAATGGGCTATAAAACCGTGTCGAATTGTCTAATTCCAATAAAATAGAAATATAAATTCAAATTGCAAAGGTGTATTCTATCTAACATTTCAGTTGTATAAACTAGTAGAATCATATTTATGGCCGCCTCTGATGTATACATACCGCGGATATTTTATTGCTATAAATTTAAAGAAAATAAGAGAATATTTCATTGTTTTGGCCACAACCCAAGAAAGGATTGTAGCACACGCATCGGTGTGTGTACTTACTGCGCAGAAAGATATACATTTATACCCTAAAATGTAATACATTTATAAGTATGAATTTTAATCATGCATTTTTCATTCTGCATTTCAATATATTAGAATATAAATGACATGGACTAGTGTTGTAAACATTTAAATACATATTCTATGTCACTTAAACTGATTTAAAGTTATAAAATAAAACAAAATAGTATAAACGTTATACACATTATTGCAGTTCACTGTAGGAGTTTTTCATCTTTCTGTTTAAGGCCTATTTGTTACAGTTTAGGTGTAATCTTTTAGGTTGTAAGTAGAGTTTTAATTCACAATATTAAGACCTAATGTGTACAGTGCAATTTTATCAGATTAAAAATTGCCTGCGCCAAGGTGACATGTCAGCTCATCTTCTATTTTAAACTTCATATTTTTTTGTTCAACTGTACTTTATCACTTCCCAGCTTATTGGCACCAATAAAACGTTCTCATCGTTTTATCTAAAATGTAGCTTACTAATTTTACAATCATTTTATTAGATTCTCTTAAAATAGTTATGGTTTAATATTTCTTGTTAATTCAGGGTAATTTGAACACCAACATAAATGAGAGAACTTCTGAACATCGCTTGACATAATACTTTATATATGTTTATTACCAGTTGTTTCAAATTCATATCCAGCATTTAATGCCATAATTTCGTCATTACATAAATATGAAAGTTGGTTGTCATTTTGTGACATCGTCAACAGGGAAACAAAAATCAGAAACCCTGCTTGACATCATCTGATAAAACCTACATTGTTTGATAATATAGGTTAAAATGTCAAATTCTTATGAACTTGATAAACTTATGAACACATATGTAAATGTTTCTAAATTCAAAATTTCAACACCATTTTCGTGTTTAAATGTTGAATTCTGCTTTTAAGTCGGTGCTAAGGGCGTGGACGGCCTGTCTGTGCTCTGCCTTTTGTCCTGTCCTGGTTTTGTTTTAGTCCTCCTTGGGTCCTTACCACTGGTCCTTGTTGCTGGATCGTGTGGGGGTTGCGTTCATTGAACGCCGCCTTTCCTCGTT